GGCATCAACTCTCCTTCCATCCCCTTTAGTCACTGTCCAACTCTCTGATGCATAACAAGTGATTGCAAAGACCAGGGCCTGTATCAGACACATCTTAGTCTCCAGAGTGACACCATTGCTCTTCAGTACTTTGGTGAGGTCCCTAACAGCAGACTTTCCCATCGCAATGCATTTTTTAATTTCCTAGCTACTGGTGCCAAGAGTGTTGACAGTGGAGCCAAGCAAACTTAAGCTCTGAACAATCTCAATCTCTTCACCATCCATCCTGATGCTGCCAATTGGTCCAGTGGTGAGAATCTTTGTCTTCTTGACATTGAGCCTCAATCCATATTGGAGGCTGCAGTCCTTGACCCTCTGCAGCAAGTGCTTCAGGTCCTCCTCAGTTTCAGCAAGCAGGGTTGTGTCATCTGCATAATACAGATTGTTGATGAATCTTCCACCAATCCTGACACCACACTTCTCCTCATAGAGCCCGGGGGTGGGCAGGAAAATATGCAACAATGAATGAATGGAAATCCAGAATACCTATAAACATTCATTAAAATTAATAAAATAAAATTTAAAAAATCTGAAGTTCTATGGAGATGTTTGCTGCTACTATTCATTAAGTTTTAACTCAAAGGATTTATACTGAGCCTATAAGTTAAGAAGATTTTTAATAACATATACCCTGTTGCATGTCTCACCACATACTCCCACAGTTAGTACCAATAAATGTTTTTATAACTCCAGTTGCTTCCTTTTTCTACCAGGTTTACGCTTGCTGCTAACACAAATAGTGCTTATAAGGCAATGAAGAAAGTGTCTTTTCCTCAGGGCAGCTCCATGCCAGAGGGCATGCCTTGGTAAGCATAGCATGGGCTATTTCGGATCCCATCTGCCCTTCAGCCAGATGCTTTTATTCTGTCTTCGGTCAGCACAACTGGGAAATAGCCCTGATTGGAGCTCCTTTTTGGAAGGAGACCTGGCCTTCAAGACTCTAGAACTCATGATTTATTGGTGTCTGTGTATGTTAGATGCCACAGTCGGCTCCAATTCACAGTGACCACCCCTTCCCCTGTGATGAAACATTGCCAGATTCCACTCCATTCTCACAAATGATGCTGTATTTGAGCCAATCATTGGAGACACTGTGCTAGTTTATCTGTTTGAGGGTCTTCATTTTTAGTCAGATGACCATATGATATATTACTCTGGAGATGAAAAGACAAGGAAAAATGGGGTTGCCTTCATAGTAAAAAAAGTAATTTCTAG